TTATATAATATAGCAAAATACCTTTAACCACTTCTGCGTTTGGCCGGCCAATTGCAGTTCTTACTTCTTTTCGTGTTCTTGGCAACTTTTCCCTCATATGTTTTGCAACAAATTGCCTCCAATTAAATTTATCTCGTTGAAAACTTTCCATCTGATATTTATAGACTCCTGCTCACTCATATCCACCCACCACCGACCACCCACTGAGACCTCCCGCAGTTCTTGCTCTTGTTGTCTCCGCTTATTTGTCGTTTCATTACGTATACGCCACCAATCACAAAACGCCATGTTGGAAGTTTGTTACTCAATTAGTTTTCATTTTCTTCCTTTGGGGCGCAAAATTGAAAACACTTCTCGCCGGAGAAACTTTTTACATGGCCCTCATGGCAGCCAAGTGACTTTGCCGAGCACAACTTGCGGCCTGTTTCCATGTGTATCAATTAATTGCGGCAGAAGCCGCACAAACTTTCTGCAAAATTGGCGAGCCCGAAATGGTCGTGAGGGCGACATGCTGAGCACGTTTAAAGACTGCAATTAATAGGCCTTCCGAAAGGTGTTTAGTATGGGGTCTACTTATTGGAGATAGTGTCCCAAAGAAAAACCCAGATCTTAACTTTTAAGAGATCAAAATATAGTTTTGTAGCCTTCGACTGGCTTTAAGTTTTCATTAGTTGACTGCCTTTAATTTGGGCATTTTATAAGAATTAAATTTTTAATGTTTAAAAAGCAGTTATTAAATATTTAAATGAAAATAATTAAAACAGGAGAGCAGTAAATATGGGATTAATTATAGTTTAAAATAGGCTACGAAACTATCCTAAGACTGGCTTTAAGTTTTCATTAAAAAAGCTCCTTAGTTATTCCCCTGAAGCTTGCCTTTTTGTTAACTATATTTTCAGTTTTTTAAAACCGCAATCAACGATTTTCAAAATGCAAATGATTTATGGTAAATAGGAAGGTGATGCAACTCTGATTACTTTGACATCCTCAACCAGTTGGACAATATGCAAACATAAAGTACATTTTTATAAAGGGCTGCTGTGCAGCGATTTCAGAGAATGAATTGGTCATTTGGCTATTTATGCTGCTGCCATAGTTGACATGAAAAATAATTTGCACTTTTTGCTTAGCTTGGCATCACCGACTGGTGGGCAGGCAACATAAATTTAGCATACTCCCCTTTTGCAGCTGTTGGCTTTGCTGCCCTCGTTCGTTCGGCTGGCATTTTGTTTACAACGTTGATTATCCGCTTTAAAGCTGCACAGGAATGAATATCTGATTCAATTTCGCATGAATTATTGCATGGAAGTGTCCAAGTGCATAAATTTCATTTCGTCTACGGGCGGAGACAAACAAACGGAGACGGCGGGGGCGGACTAGGACTAGGAGGTCTAGGAACCCGGTTCTCTGTACTTTGTGTCTGTTTGTTGGGGCATGCCAGGATGCCAGGGGATGCCAGGCAGTCCAAGTACTGCCACTATGATGGGTGCCCATAAAAAGAGGCGCCAGACTGTATAAGGATGCGCTGAAGAGTGGCCTGGCATTGTGCCTTTGCCGAGAAGTGGCATAACGTTGACACAGGACTAGAAGACTGGAAGACCATTCGGGAGCTGGGGAAGGAGCAGCATGGCCAGGAACAGGAGCTGAAGGAGTTGATTTGAAGGTAAACATTTGGACAAGAAAAGAGCAAAGGTAAAGCCAAGTCGAAGCTTAATTTATATGAATTTAGGTGTGGTTAGCTTTTAGACTGCCATATATGAAAAGTAATCCCTGTAAATGAATTAGTTTTGCCAGCCAGACCTCTCACTTTATTTGTTTGCAAATGCAATACAAAGAGATCTGCTCTAAAGTTTATTTATACCTTTTTTGTACGTCAATATTTGTGTGTTTATAGTTTTTTGGACGTCAATTTTATGCATTTTCATACAAAATCAAACTTAGCTAAAAGGATAATTTAAAGGGTAATAAGCTAAAAGAGCAAAGGTTAAGCAAAGTTAAAGCATAATTTATATGAACTTAGGTGAGATTAGAATTTAAAATGAAAAGTAATCCAAGTAAATTAATTAGTTTTATCCAGCCAGACCTCTCACTTTAAAGGTTGGAAAAGCAATACAAAGAGATCTGCTCTAAAGCTTATTTATAACTTTTTTGGACGTCAATTTTATGCATTTGCAATTTGGCTCATAAAAAAGCATTGGAAACGGTAACTAAGGTGCATTTACCTCTTCGTCGATTCGTTTGCCAATAATATTTTCATGAAAATTCAATAAAAAATGATTTGTGTTTGCAATTTTTAAGCATTTTCACGTGGCTCTCGTTGCCATGACTTTTGTTTTTGCCGCTGCAGTAGTTATTGCTGCAGTCTGCCAGTCAGCAAATGCTTAAATAAAAACTTCCCGCTATCGTTGTCTAAAATCAAAACAAATCTACAAAAAAAAAGTATATATTCGATGGCTCGTCCATCGATTGCGAACGGTAACCAACTGCAATGTAGAAATATAATTTATATCAACTGTCTAGTTACTTTTATTGTGCTGCACACAGACCACAAACAAACCCATGGCTGTGATTGCATTCGCAATGCGAGTTTGAATAAAATCCAATACCCTTTTTTTTTTCCCGCCCACGTTTTTCCACATTCGATGGCTTTATATTTTTGGTAAGGTATTTTTCATGGATTTTGCGGCTTTTTAGAATATTAAAACTTTTTTTTACCAATAGCACGAGTATGCCCAACAATATATATGCAGATCTATGTGGGGCTTAGCATTTGGCCGTTACACGCTTTTTAAACACCACTTTCATTATTGATGAAAATATAAAGAGCGTTTTGTTGGGCGTGTTCAAAGCGTAAATGCGTTAAATAACTAACAGCAATAACACCGAATTGTGGATTAGTTCATCCAAATCTAAAGGTACAATAGGGGCTTTTGTGAGAGCTGTTTTGTTTTCAAATTAAACGGTCTTAGGCTGGGCTTTTCAATAATACCATTGTTTTTATAATAACTGTGTCTTTGGGCATTTCCAATTTAAAGATTTATTTTACACCAATTAAAATGAAGAAATGAAGAAATGTCGTTTATAAACAAGAATAATAAAACCACCAAAACTATAAAATATGGCATGTAAAATGTAAATCTTAATATTAAATAAAAACTAACTAAAAATAACATATGTTAAGGGTACTGACTAGGTACTAATCCTATCTGCTACTTGATACCCCTTAGAAGCTTTATTGTTGTGGATTAGTATTCAAAATATGCATCGTGTTAAACAACATACATTTTTTTCATAAACACTGTTTTTTTACTGTTTTATTTTAAGTATACTTTTTATTTTGATTGAACTAATTATAAAAAACTCAAATAAAGAGTTCAGCGGATTAACAATGTCAACAATAAAGCCACTTAGTTAATGAAACAATATGTATGTAGTCATCAAGCAATGATACTATTTGTTAAGGTTACTGATCACGTACGGCTCCTGTCTATTTCTTAATATCCCTCAGAAGGTTTAGCAATTAAAAATGCCAGAAATACTAGCAATAAGAAGACTATTTAATGCATTCCCATCAGGATCTTAATTTCCGTTTCGTGTCAGCACTTACCCATCACTTTGTTGACTGCATGTTTGGCCATAAGGCTTCTATTGCGTGCATGCTCAATCAGACTGATGCAATTTTGGGCAGAGCAGCGACGCTTCACGGCACAATCGGAGCCAATATTGTCCAGAAAAGTCTGTAAATTCCAGCAAGGAGTTAAGTAAATAGATACAAAAACCGCTGAACAGTTGTATCACCTCCAATAGCTTGCAAATTTCGCTATCGCTGAGACCCTGCTGTATATAGCGGCCAAAGTGCTTGATGAAATCGCAGAGTGTCTCCTGGAGCAGTGTCTCCTTGCGCTGCGAAATGGTGGTCATGCATTGGAGCAATCGCATGGCATACCACTTGATGTGCTTCTCCTTTATTTGGGGGGCATAGTAGGAGAACAGGTTGAGGCAAATCCTTAAAGATCTGAAAAAGACACCTCATTAGTGTATGTGATTTCTTGGCGGTTGCCATAACTTACCTCTGATTACCATTCCTCTTGATCTCGCCATACAGATCCATGAGAATGCGACTGACCCTAGTTTTCTCCAGTGCCCGCAGGATCTTGTTCAGGTTCTCCTCGGCACTCATCCGCACCACGGAGTCCACATCCTCGCAGAAGAGCAGCAGGACATTCATGGCCGTGCCGCAGTGTGCTGCATAATTGATGTGCCCCGCCAGCAATGGTGACATGATGCACTCGGCAATCTGCTGGAAGCAGGCTATCTTCTGCTTTTGACTGTGGGAATTTCAGGTAATTAGTTTTGTACACAGGTATGTGGCATGACGTCATAGCGGATGCACTTGTTCGCAAAGAATTTGTGAACTGAGTAATCAGTAAACTGGACCATTTGGTGGGCATTAAACCCTTAAGAAATCGAGTTGCATTTGCAATCTGATCCATATTGTTCCATAACGAGCAACAAACTGTTGCCGGTCCCCTTCCCAAACCATTCAATACGCTGCAATTAAAAACAAACATATAATGGTGAAAACGCACCTGCATTCTGTGTTCCGCAGCTGCTCCACGAAACCAGCGAACTTATCGTACACGCTGGACCTGGATTTGTCCATTTCACTGCCCAAATAACATTAATAAACGCTATTTACAAATAATAACACCACAAAAAAACATCGCTCTTTTGTTATGATTTCAACCAGCTGATTTGGACTTTAAAAAATACCATAAAATACCGACACAGTCGATATGAGGCGATGCAGTTTCGGACTATCGGGCAACAAGCGATACGACTATCGATAACAATGCAGTAGAGTGACAATGACTAAGCTTAAGTCTTATCGCTCTGTTCTGGGCATGTTAAATAACAGTGAAGTTATATGGTGGCGCCAAAGCTATCGATAAAAGACATTTTTAAAAAGCATTTTAAATTAACTATATCAAAACCAGTAGTTTTTGTTTATTGACGTTTTATTTTTATTATTATTTATACATAACTGCGTTCACATAGTTAATGATTTACTTTTACTTAAATAAGAACGTTTTTTCACTTGTTCGTTGTTCATTGTCTTATGTTTTGTTCGTTGTGAAATACTTATGCTCAGCGCATAATATTTCCTGAAATAGATTTCTTTACGTACTCTTTAGGGTAGTGCACATTATTGTATTTAATTATGTTTTACCTTAAAAAACTTAAACCCATACAAAAAATGCTTTAAGCTACTTAATGTTATTGACAAAACCCACCATTGTTTTTGTTCGCTTTTCATTGTTTTCTTTTTCTTTTGTTATTTTTTATGCTTGCCCTACGTGTATTCGCGTGAATTATGTAGAAAAAACAATCACAGTCCATTGAAAAATATATAAAATTAGTTATGTGTGTGTAATAAATTGCCCGTTGTTTCGGAATCGAGAAAAGTTCTAGTACAGAGGGTTGCAAATAATGGACATCTAGCAACGGATTACTGAATTCGTGACACAAAATATTTACAACAATTCATTTAGGTACCTAAACCTTACGCTTTAAACTACGAAATGTGCAAAACTTAGCCTAGGGAAACGAGTGGTGCCGAGTAGAAATGTGCTTAAATAATTTATGACATTTTGGGCAGATACGTGGGAAGTGAAACTTGTAAGCAGATAAGAAGTAGAGCCGAAGTATAGGGGGTAAACTAACTAGGACGACGAGGACGACTAATCGTGATCTAAAGTAGGCATCTAAAAATACGGTGACATCTGGAGTTCCTAGCCGCGTTTGGCCCGCAGCACGAGGAGCGTCAGCACCAGGAAGCCCACGATCCAGGACAATGTGCTCACATAGCCGATGTACACATCCGACTCCAGTATCGCCCAGCCACGTGTAAGGATGGAGCGCAGCGAAGAGGTGGCCAGTGTTAATGGCAGGCACAAGGATATGTATCTGGGGAAGATTTAAACATTAAATTTTTACTTAACACAGGAAATCGCCTCGCGAACTCACCTCAGCACCACGGGCATGCCCTCAATGGGCCAGATCACGCCGGACAGCAGCAGGGTGGGATAGAAGGAGCCCAGCGCCAGCTGGATGGCATTCCTCTCCAGCTCGCAGACCGAGGAGATGAGGAAACCAAAGCACATGCCACACATGCCCTGCAGCAGGGTCAACACAATCACCCAGAAGAGGTCGCCATTATTGGTAACTCCGAACACCACCAGCATGAAGATCAACACCAGGGTAGTCTGTCCGCACATCACCACAAACTGGGTGATCACGTGGGAAAACAGGATCTCGAAAGGAGAGACACCTGCCACCCAGGAGCGATCCAAAAGGCCCTGCAAAGGAATGAAGTACATATGAAGTTAATTTTAATTAAAAAAATTTTTTTGTCTGTGTTTTACAATAATTTTGGTATTTTTTCACAACTGTTTTATTTAGCAATAACAAAATATATCTGACATGGTCTTTTTTCGATTTATAATTTAACCTGGTTTTTGAGTATGTTTTTCCTTTCTCTACCAATAAGGAGATTTCAGTATCTGTATCGTGTATAACCGACTTATCAAAGATTGACGGTAGAAGGTCTTGCAGCTTTTGCTGGGAATCCGATGGATGGTACAAAGAGGATAACGGATGGCAGGTTTTTGCTGATTTTCCTATTCAGTAGTGGTTGTTGCTCCTGTTCTTAAATTCTTGTGTAAAGGCGGACAACTTTCTCAGTTTACTATAATTAGGTTTATAGATCTTCGTCGTCGTCGGGCAGCGCGATCGACTTGGCCTCCTGCACTTCCCGCTCGATCTGGGCCTGATAACCCTTGTCAATCTCGACCTCGAAATTTCTAGCTCGAATCGGACTGTTTTCAAGCTATTTTGTTTACTTGTGTTACTATTTTGCATTCCTTTTTGTTCTGGCAATGGTCCTAAATCTCTGACTTTGTTTAGAAATTTGTTTGTATATTTAAATATAAAATACCAAAAAAAAGTTTGGTATTATTTTTTCATTACTGCTGATATGTGGCAATGAAGTAAGAATTCCTTGACTTACCTCAGTGCGCTCAATGATCAGAGCCGATGACGTTAAAGCGACAGCCAAGAAGAATACAATGCTATTAAATATAACAATAAAACATTAATGACACACCCATAAAACAAATGGCTGTATGAAACCTACGTCAAGATCACGCCAGGTGCCACGAAATCGGTGAACGATGGATTCATGGTGCCGTAGATGGGGTCCCTGAACTGAATGGGCACGTCGCCCAATTTCGGATTGCTGCCGCACTGGCCCAACAGCCCCATGGCAAAGTCCCTGAAGGCCAGCTGGATGTCTCGGTTGAGCATGACGCCGATCTGCTGGTTGGACATGTCCAGCCAGACCTTCACCTCGGAGGAGTCGATTGTCTCGTCATCGGAGTCACGTCCCAGATTTGCTCGGGCAATGAAGGCGTCCGTGAAGTTTTCGCTTATGTAGACGGCTCCCCAAGCTGTCCCCTTTCGCACGGCTTCTTTGGCATCTTCTAGGTCCTCATAATACGTTTTGACCACACTCGTGTTCAGGTGACTCAGGTAGCGACATCCCAGGTTCTTAAAGTGGCAGCCGTCCTCCCAGTAACAGTTGTCCTAAGAACAATCGCAGATTAATTAGTTAGACATTGTTGGATTAATCAGGCCTGAATTTAATTTAAGATTTGTAATAATTAAGTGTGAAGTCCGCTTTTGTTTTGTTTTGAAGTTTATCTTATTTTGGGTTTTAGTTAATTAATTAAAATGTTAAGTTAATTAATTAAAATATTATAATGTTCTAAATGCCTTTTATTGATGACTTAAATATATTTTTAAAACAAAAAATAAAAAGTAAAAAAAAAACAATTCAAATCAGTTCCCACTAATATCAGATCTGTTTGAAATTGCTTTTGAATCAAATGTTAAAGAAGTTTCTGCCAAATAATTTTGAAGGGGTGCCTGAAGAGAGTATTGTATAAGTGTGTGTCTTACCCTTACCGTGTCGTTCATCTCCCCGTTGACTATGGCCAGGTTGAGGCCCTGGGGATCGCGTCCGATGGCCAGGCAGAAGAGGATCACCTGCATGACGGGCAGGGCGAAGATGAACAGCATCACGCCCACGTTGCGCCACATGCGCAGCATGTTCTTGGTGAGCAGGGCGCGGATCTTGCCCTTGGAGGTGATCTTGCACAGGTTGGCATAGCAGTCCTGGCAGCTCTCCTCGTCATTGGGATTGTTGTTGCGCCTCGACGGCGGTGGACTATATGGTTCCTGGTTGAGCTGTTGGAAAAGCACACTAAATGAGCCGGGAAATCGCGCACAAAGGGAATTCCCCAAACAAACCGTGTAAATCGATCCATTGCTGTCGTTGATCAGCACCTCCTTGCTCTGGTGGAAGTTGAGGCCCACCACGCCGCCCTCCTGACTGGAGCTCGGCTTGTCCATCTTGCTGCCGAAGGCCATGGCGTGCAACGAGATGTTGTTACTACTTCCCCCAAAATCAAACCAATCACAAACAGATGGGGGGTGTGGAACACAGATTGCGAGCATGCGAGTGTCGGATGGAAAAGAGTTCAGAGTGGAGCGTTTAGAGTTCAGAGCGGTGATTAGATTACATTTGAGTGGTGTGGACGGGTTAGCCACGTTGAGTGCATGTCAAATCCCTGCGAATCCTTACCTGAAGTTCACATGGGTCACATCGCCCTTTTGGCTCTGGATGCGGGATAGCTTGAGGAACACCTCCTCCAGACTGATGCACTTGTACAGGGAGAGCAGGACGCTGGGCGACTCCTCGGCCAGCAGGTGACCCGATCGCATTAGACCGATCTATAAACGAAATTAGATATTAATACACTGATAAAAACTGGAATAGTACAAATTCAAATCTGGCTATTTTGTAGAACATTTCATACTTCATAGTTAAATTAATTATATATAAATATATAATATTAAAGTCAATGTCTATTAAATATTCAAATTTTTGAGTTAATAGAGAACATAAAAAGAAAAAGCTATGAGCTGTTGTGGGTAATTATGCTAAGAAAAGCATATTGGATTATAATCATATGCATTTGGGCCTGCACAAAAGTACTGCTATCTGGTGTTAAATTTAAACCTATTATGGTTTAATTTCAATTAAATTTTCAGTTATTTAAACTACTCAATCAAAAAATATAACTAAAAATATTTAAATATTTAAATATTTAAAACAACTAAAAACAGCAATGAGTTAAAATCAAACCGGCAAATATTTAAATAATATATTGTAATAAATACTTTGTTTCTTTAACCAGTAATGTAAGAAGTAAATTATTTCTCTCCAGTTCCCTACCGTATGCGCCTGTCGCGCCTCCTCAATATAATGAGTTGTGATGATGACCGTCTTCTGGCCCGCCTTGGTGATGTGCACCAGGTGATTCCAGATGCTCTGTCGCAGCAGTGGGTCCACGCCCACGGTGGGCTCATCCAGAATCAGGAGCTCGGGATCGTGCATCAGGGCCACGGCGAAACTCACACGACGCTGCTGACCACCACTCAAATTCTTGACCAGACGCTTCTCCGACGGCAGATCGAGGAAGTTCAGCAGGAACTGTAGACGCTCCAAGATCTCCTTGGTCTCCATGCCGAAGATCCAGCCAAAATACATCATGGTCTCCTGGATGGAGAACTCGCCGTACAGGGCGATCTCCTGGGGCATGTAGCCCACACGTTTTCCCGGAACACCCGATCCCCGAGTGCCGGGTTTGCCGCCCAGCACGAAGATCTCACCGGCGTCCATGTAGCGGCGACCCACAATGCAGGACAGCAGTGTGGTCTTGCCACATCCGGAGGCTCCCAGAAGACCATAGCTGTAAAAAAAAATGATAGAATTGAATTAAATGTAAAATTTAAACAATTATTTTACGCACGGTATATAAACTCTCTTAGTAAGGATTTTTTAATGCCAAAAATTTTTAACATCTAAATTAACAAAATAGTTCGTGTAATGTGTATAGGAAAATTGAAGAATATTCTATTTCTAGTAAAACGAAGCTATTTAAACCCGAAATTGGTTAAGCAGAACTAGAGATAAATAAAAAAATAGAAATGAAAACAGCTAATAAAAAGTCGACTTAGGGTGTCATTTCTTTTGATTTACTTTTGTAAGCCAGTGTAATCTTGGCATTTCCGAAATCAAGCTTTACCTTAATTTACTTTTTCCAATAAAATGTCGAATTAGGAACCCTAATTAAGTTTAATAAATAATGGCACAGTGAAATTTCGATCATCAATCACAAAGTTTAAGTTCTAGAACTTAATATTTGTATTGCCATTAAAAATTTTTAAATTACTTTTTAAATTACGGTAATGGCAAGCAGGAAACGCATAAAAATGATAGTTTACTGAGTAAGCAAATAGGTATTACGATTCTGCATTCCTTTTGTATAAATACAAATGTAGCTTATTGACGGGTTGTCAAAGGTTATAAAGCCAGCCATGACAGTGAGACAAAGAAGTTTCATAAAAAGTAAGCTGAAAGAGGGGCTAACTTTTGTGCCGATTCAGCACGAAAACTGTCGCCACGATAAACTCGACTCCGTATATAGTACTATATTCGAGTGTGGCATGTCGACGGCGATGTCAATGTTAATTCCAGCAGTTCAAGTTGAATTATTTCGAAATGTTTACCTTGAAATGTAAGAAATGCCCGGAGCTATCAAAAACGACTCCGCCTCTTTAATTTTTTTTTTTTTTTGTTGAGGGGATAGTCGTCGTCTCCTATCATTATCACCATCATCATGATGAACTTGGTAGCGGTTGTGATTATTGTGATTATCGCTTTGTTAGTTTGTTGTCTGTTTTGCGTTTGGTCTTCGGCCTTTGACAAAAAATATTGCAGCACGTAGGTCGCACGTTTTGGCCTGTTATTGAATCTATAATTATAATTAGCACGCTGCGCCATTTAACGAAGTAAGCGATACAAAATCGGATAATAAGACCCCTGGGGAGGAGTGTCTGTCTGGCAGTTGGCTCCAACTTTAATTGACATAATCGTAAATGCGCCGAAAAAGCAGTTCGTTGACTTGCCACCGCTAAATGACTAACTCAGCGACCTAACCTAGGTCAAAAAGCTGAACTGGGTCAAGACTGCTGCACACTCGGCAGAGAATAAAATAAAATTCCGTTACGACACAGCATTAATTCGGCAGCTTAATAAATCACTCAGAATGCCGCAAAAAAAGTAGAAACAAACAAAATTTAATAATAAAGCGCTGCTCGTGCCATATCAATGCCAAAGACGGCGAAGAAAAAAACATTTATTTTTATGGCCCCTAAATGTTTGCCAAAATTCGTGAACCCCATAAGGGGTCTATTTGGGGTTCGCCATCGCAATTAAGCACATGTGCCGTGAGTTGGGGTCTTCGGAAGCAAACATAAATATCGTTCTCCAGCCATTTGCAATTTTTCGAGACTCCAATCGAGACGATAATCGATCAATATAACTAGGCATATTGGCTGTCTGTCGTTCGAGAATTTAACAAATAACGTAAGTGCCTGGCATACGAATGGTTTCTTTTTGGATTAATTGCCACGACGTGTGGATTTTGACGTCAGTTGGGGTAGCGGCCTAATTGGGATCACTTCTGGGGGGCCATCTCCGCGAGATTCGAGGAACTTTAATAGCGACCCTCGTTAGCCGTTTCAAATTATCATGCAAAAATGCCGTTTCAATTGCAAGATAGTCGAACGACTAAACAGGTTTTCCGTGCCGTATATAATAGCCGCAATTAGACGCAAGCGTTACCAAGTGACCTCTGATATAGACGAGATCGCAGATCGTAGATCGTTGCAATCAAATCGCCGTCACAAGGAAATCGCTTAGCATTGCCCATTCGGTGCTAATTTCGATTTCAACTTCGAGTTCAGCCAACATTAGGTGCTAATTACTTTCGCCGTTTCTATTTTATGAACTCGCTAAATTGAGCTGTCAACATTTCACTTTTATTGACTGATACGATCCCCACATTCACTACTCACATTGTTCCCTTGGGCACAGTCATGTTCAGGTTATTCAGCACCTGGTTGGCGTTCTTCTTCTTGCCGTAGGCCTTGAAGGCATGCCGCACGGATACGGCGGCCTGTGTGTTCCGGGGTCCATTTGCCGGAGCTCCCCAAGTCGCCACGGCATTCGACTGTGTCTGTGTGCCACCATCGTTGTTTGTGGCCGCCATCGCGGAGTCTGTGGAAATGCTGCAAGGAGATCAAGAAATATAAGTTAGTTTAGGGCTTTGTTTCAAATTGTCACCCCGAACATTTGAGGGTTGAACATTATAGTTAATATTGCTGCCTCCTTAGAAAATCAAAACATATCAATTTGTTTATGTATTTCTGTGTCAATTGATATAAAATATTTGTTTATCAAAGAATTGTAACTCGACACACAAGCCACTTCTGCTAAATATGCCATACAAATTTGTGAAAAATTATATAAAACATCTAAGCGCTCTAATAATATAGGCAGATATTGCTAAAAAATATATAACGAGTATTTATTGAGTCTAATCCATAAAAAAACATAAGGCATCAAAAAAGTTAACAATGAACGAGCAATTTAAATGAATAAAACAGATAAAAATTTACATTTTAAATGCAGGCTGTTATTGAGATCGAAAAAAATGGAGATCACTAAACCGTCTTATCTAAAATTAGCAATATTCAAATTATTATAATGAATTAATTACCAGCCGGAGTAAAGATGTCTAAAAGTAAGCAATGAGCTCGCATTTCAATTAAAAATCCTGATGAATGAATGCCGGCTGCTACTATTTATATTTACATTTTTGAATGCCTTGGCAATTGTTTTGATTCTTTTTTGTAAGCCCCGTTTCTGGGGTAATTCCTCAAAATCCGGATATTCAAAGGCATTCATTGTAAAAATCGTTAACGATACCCAAATGATGAATATATGCTATGATTACAGGTCAAAACTTGCTCGGATAAGCGCGTTTAATAGAATACTTTAGCGTATTTTAATTTGCCCGCTATTGGCAGCTTCCTGCTGTCGCATATAGCATGCAGCAATTTGCATAACGAACGACTAGCGGATTTGCATTTGATGTGTGTTTGTGGGGTATGCTTCAATGGCTCGGCATCAAAAACTATGTCAGCGGCACACATTGCAAAAAATAAGAAAAACAACAAAAATCATAAAACAGAGCGAAACAGCGGGCACACAATGGACAAGCTTGGCAACACTTTTCATTTCAATATTTATAGTTAGGCACTTGGAGCACTCGTCGCTTGAGCAACGCGCTTTTTTGGTCGAAGTTGGAGTCCAGCTGGAGTTGAATGGCGAAGTAAAGTCGTTGGCCAAGTCTGGTTTTGGACCAGCTTTTAACCGATTGCTTAACAGCCATCCAGCCATCCATCCGTCCATCCATCCACCACAACCAAGTTGGTCAGCCGTTGAGCAAATATGCAAGCAATTTGCAGTGTGCAGTTTGCATTTGCATTTGCATTGGCAGGGCCCATTATGCAATTTCCCATGCGGTTTTGGCACGCATTGCAAACGTGTAAATAGCCACCGAAAGCTTCTTCAATTTTGGGTCAAGGTTAGCTGCCCTGTTAGTCGAAAGAAAGTTCATAATTGCCTGCAATTAATCACATTCGCACCTTTTTAACGTCTATATGTATATTTTGACTGCCAGCTTTTTATTTTCGGGGTTTTCATATCATTAGCGCTGGCTTAAAACGAGCAAGTCATATAGCCAGAAAACGAGAGAAGCGAGACAAACAGACCAAAAAAAAATATAAATAACATGCTGGCGGGGGGAAACTAGTTCAAGGTCACTGATTGAACGCATTCGATCGCTAAATCGTTGTTGTTTTCTTTACCAAACTCGCGCTTTCAAAAACGATTTGGCTACGTTTTTTGACCGTCTCAGTGTTTTTGCTAATCGATTGCGTTACTTCTCGTTAAGATAAATATGCGACCGGCCGCAAATATTTGCATTTATTATAAGATGCTTGCCCAATGGTCGAGTGGCGAGCAAACAGGGTATTTGTATTTGCAGGGAAAATTAAGTGGCTTTATTATGTGACGGCCTATCGAATATTAGCATAATGCGCGCTGACACAAATTTGGGCTGGGCCGCACGAATTCTGAATACGAAACTCAGAAATATATATGCCATGCTGCAATTTTACAATTTTCAGCTGACCAACTTGGTTGACGAAATGTGCATCAAGTTTCAAGTTCGTTGCCTGAGTCTTTCGATTTGCGTATTTGCGTACAGTGGAGGGAGTTAGTCACAGCCAAAAGCCAAAACCAACGCCAGCTAGTTGCGTAAATCGGTGCGTCTCTGTGTGAGCCAGTCAACAATGGACAAGGTCAGGCCAGGTAGTTTTTTATAATGACAACAAACCGACATTTTCCCTCTTCTCCGCCACTCTTTTGTGCTTGACATTTATGGCTTGGAAATTTGGGCCCGTCGATGGTGCTTGTGATTGTGTTTGTGTGCATGCTTATTGATAATTTAATTAACTATTAGAGCGCTATTTATTCATGCAGCGCGATTTGCCCAGCACGGGCTCACATTTTTTTGTTTTTTGGGGCATTTTTTCGGTTGGTTTCTCCAGAGGCGCACCTCGTTGGATGACATAGCGTGAGAATGGGACAGGGTTTGTTAACACACACACACACACACACACACACACACTGAGTTATGGGCGGAAAAAACACTTCACAACACTCGTCATTTCCCTTTAACCAGAAACCATCAATAAGCTTAACTGAACTACTCTCTGTCATAACTGACACATTTTCTTTCCGCCCTTTGCTCACCGTGTTAAATGCGAACTTTAGAATGTGTAATTATCGTGGCGAATAGTCTAAAATAAAAGCGAGTACGGAGAGGCAAAGTGCAGAGAGACTTCCACCGAAACTACAGTAAGGTTATCGAAAGATGAACATTTGCTCATTACAAGAGATACAAGCTGATGACCAATATAATATAATTTTGAAAATTATTTTATAATCGATTTCATGTAATTCGTTCATGTAATTTTGATCGATAACAGTTAAATATAATAATATATATATCACAATATTTTTTCCTGTCATATAATAATATATATCAAAAAACTCATTGCACAAAAAGAGACTAGAAGCATTTCTTTTGTTAGCAAATGACATAATAAAAAGGTTTAAATTGATATGCAGCCTATTTTTGTAACTGATTGCCTTTATAAAACAGCTAAAGAGGCTGCCTATCGTGCTGCGATTTCATTGATGATCGAGTCGCCTAATCGCCAGTAATCAGCAAAGGGAGACTCAATTCAAATTGTTCCTGGCTCCGTTCTGCTGGAGTCTGTCACGCATCGATGAAGGCAGCGAGCTGAATGCTAAACACACCGATCCCCAATCGGTTCTTGCCTCCAGACTTTGGGGGGAATTCCATTCCAGACCGCGTATTATTGACAGGCAAAACACCTCTTAACCATTTCCATACAAGTCAAGTCATACTGCCACACACGCGGAAGATGCAAATGTCGTGTAATTGCCTTTTGTTGTACTCAGTCCGCTTCGTTTTTCTTTTCGCTCGCGCATATAATTAAGTGCTTCTATTCTTGAAGCCAACGAGGAAGCCATTGAAATGACAGACTTGTCATTTGCCAAATAAATCAGCAAACTTCCATGACTTACAGGGCAGTGAGTGGGCTAAACCCAGACCATGTTTCATCTTCAGTGCGGATCGAGTGCGGATCAGGTGGATTTATGGCCAGAAGAAGACGATCGCTGGCGATAATTGCATAATGAGCCTTTTGGTATTTGACATAATTACCAAACTTGTTCGCCCCGCTGAGAAATGCGGTCGCATTTTTCGGCCCAGCCAGGCTGGCAAATATGCAAAAGCAACCAAAAAAAAAAAACAGCAGCAAAAGAAACACAAACTATGGCCAAAAGGGTGAAGCGCTGGAAAAGTCAAATCAAAGGCAGCACAAAGCTTATGCAACAATAGAGGGTCGACAAGTGTTGAAGTCGAGATCGGGCGTTGACAGCAGGAAACTGGAAGACAAAAACCGAATCCCAGCCAATGATTGACTTGCCACCAAGTGGGTCAACATCAGTGGGTCAAAAAAAGAAACCGAAACTATTGCGTTTGTTTCGCACCTTGATTGCAATTTATAGCCGTAATCTCTGCACGTTTACCTACGAATTTACTTACGTTGATATCAGCATTTTATTTGTTGTATTTGGATTTGGATTTACTGGATTTGCGCCGCTGGTGGGTGTTGTTTTGTTTGCTTTGCTTTGCTTTGCCTATTTCTTGTTTTTTATTTGCCTTTGTCTAAATGCTAGTTACTTTGTTAAGCGTTTACTTTTACTTCGCTGCCGGACCAATCTTTTGCAATGCTGAGGCTGTGTTTGATGTGTTTCAGGCACACATTGCTGAAATGTATAAATAATAATCATGTTTGAGCGTAAATTGTTGTTTGATTTATGCACTGGAGTTTGCCGAGCTTATATTTGCTTTGTATCTCTTTCACCTGGCGCGCAGTATTGCGCATACGTCACGTTGTACATCGCACTGGCAGGAATTTTGGCTAGTCATTGCGGGATATTTATCAATGATTTTGTGCTCCATAAGAAGCTTAGAATTTTTGTGGCGAGAAAAAAACCTCTAGATCACTAGGAAAGTATCCACTAATAGGTGAATCGAATTCCCCGTTTGAAGTATTACACAATCAATCAACACCTTGCGGTGTTTGCTTCTGTTGTTGTGATCGCAGTATAATCACTTAGTGCTGAATCATGCATCATATACGATCAACTGTGAATATTTCTTGGACGCAGCGGCAATTCGATATGCGAACGGTCCAAAAGCCGCTTAACAATTGAAGTAGTAGTAATAATAATAATAACAATTGAGCTCCGAAAGCAATGTACGCATTTGGCATTGGAATTCAGTTGTTTTCGGAGCCACTTGGGCACTGAAGCTATGAGCTTTGTGAAAAACAACAAACAAGCGAGTTCTTAACAACAGATGATGCCTAGTTTGCATGCCGAGTGCGTTGCGATGCCACAAGGTCAATAATATAGTTGCTATCATGCAATGGCTATCGGTGAATTTCCGGTGCAGCGGAAAGTTTTATCTAAGCGCTAGCAACTGCGTCAGCGAATGTGCTAAAAAAAAAACTGGCCACACATGAGTCATTGTAGTGTAGAGTATTGGCAAGGCATTTAAGTCATTGCCCAATCGGCTGGCCACTTGAGCATGAAAGCATTTAACAACCATTTAACCAGCTGCAGACAATGCTTGGATGAATTTATGCATATACAATTTAAATATCAATTGGGCAATCTCCAGCTGCAGACAGGAAAAACCATTTGCGTTTTAATGGCTACGTGTGTGGCATTAGGCAAGTGGGTAAAAGACGGCCTCTAAACTAATTAGAACTGCCTTGGGAAAAGAGGAAAATCCACCGAGCACTGAGCAACACTTTCCATCTCTTGTGGCCATTTCAGTTTTCATTTTCTTCGACTGGCTTTTCCGATGACATAATTTCAGGCACGTTTGTCTGTGAGTTAACTTTCAGTGCAACGGTGTGCGACACAGTTTCGTGACTGCAACTTCTTCGGCCATTTCTGCAAATGGCAAACCAGTCGGTTGGTCGTTTGCTGGTCGTTCGCTGGTAGTTCGCAACTGGTTCTGCAACAGGTCTTTAGACTTTTCTGTGCGCCCCTGCCCAAAAATAAATAGTCTCGAGCACTAGTCACCCACTAGCCAGCGTTAGATAATCCAGATAGTCTGCAAAAGCTAAAAGCCAACCAAAACTAATCAATTCACAAGTGGCGTGTATCGATCGGCAGTTGTTGTTAATGTTATTGCTCTACAAAAACCAGTCTGGAGTCCGATTCCTGCGAAAACCCGAAAGAGAATGTCCGATTGCCTCAATTAATATTTAATTTTCTCAATTGTTGTGAGTTGTGAGTTGTCTCACAGTTGCACAATCGATGGCGAGTTCAGTTGGGGTCATGAGAGCAGCAACAACTGGAATGCCTTACAAATTCTGAATTTATAATGTCCACTCGAGTTTGAATTACAAATGTGCTCCTTAAAGGTATACACCCTTAAAAAAAGAAGGCCAATTAAAAAATCAATATGACGAACTGTCTGATTAAATCTCAGCCAGATTGTTAGCCTGACTTTATTAAGCAATTAGGGCCTGTTGATCGGGTATTAAGTGACCAGCGCCAGAGCATAGCATTAAGTCCAGTTAAAGTATAATTTCATTGCTTATGCAGCCTGGAGCAATCATCATCCGTTCATTTGAAATCGATTAGAGCAATGCAAATTGTTTGCAATTAGTGTAACAATCCCGATAATCATATCGGGTCGGATCGGATCGGATCGGATCGGATCGAAGCGAGTATTCTCGACTTCTGCCGGCTATTTATATAAGGCTTCAACTTACTATAATAGCGGCTGCTACCTTGGTATTAATTAAATGTCGCACCGTTTTATGGCTTAATAATGCCTATAGCTCTCAGTCTCTGTTGCCGAGTGGATTTGTATGGCGGGCACCTTGAACTCTGCTCGAAGCATAGCCGCGACGTGATAAACAGAGAATAAGAGACCCCAAAGAAAAAAACCCCAAGTCGAAAATACCAGTTCAAGTTTAAACTTAAACTTAAAATGCTGCACAGTTCGGAAATGCAGGCGCTCAAAACCTTGACAACTAATTTCAGGGCCCTCGCCGAAGGTCTCTACAAAAACGACGATGAATGCAGTTTGTTGTAAGATATAATTGTTATTATTATGACGATTTTCAACTTGTGCAATGAAACTGCAAAATGCAAAAAGTCACAGCACCTAATTGCGCTGAACTTTGCTCGAATTGCAATGCAATGTCCAGTGCAAATTGAGGTGAGCACACAAAAACTGGCTGGCTGGCTAACTGCTCTCCAATTGTTGTTGACCTCTTCCCATGGGTGGTGGGCGTTTTCTAAAAACTCGGTACTTTTTTTGCTGATCTCAGACAAACACTGGGCTTTCAGCAAAAACAAATTATTCATGGGGGTCTTAGGTCGCAAAGAGCTTTTTTTTTAAGTACGCAAGGAAAGTGCTGGAAGTCAGCGCCTAGAATACAAAAAATTCCATAAAACAGGTATTATTCCAAGGGCTACAGATCAATAAAGCGAATATTAAGCAAAGTGCTATGGCGATAGTATCCATGATGTAAAATGCAGTTAATGACTGAAATTATGGCCACATTTGCACAACATTTTTAGATGCAATTCACATTACATTACAGAGGAAAAAATGATGGAGTTGCCCAGGTATTATCAGATATATCAGCATATTCTAACAACGTTTTGGGTACACGATAACGCCCATTATTATTTGTATGCCAAGCGCGGAGCACACGCGTTGGAACCTTTTTTTTTTTTTGTTAAGGGGAAGGAAACGCGAGGTACACTTTGTTATTGATGATGTGGATCTCGATGATGATGATGATGATGGAAGTTCGCGAACAAAGTAATTGACGACAAAGCGACTGGCAGCCATTTGTTTTTGCCAAGAATAAGCTGTTGTTTGCTTAAATATCATGGTGTATGCCTGCCTTTTGGGCGATTTCCTGAAACGTATGTGTGTGTGTCGGCGGCACAAAGCCATTCAAGCTCGGCAAATTCCAAAAACTCCCATTTCTGTGTTTGATGAGCAAATTTACACTTACAATGCGCGTTCTAGTTGGGCCAAAATCTATTTGTATTTGCACACAATTTTCAGTCGTTTCGTTTTCGCTGGTGCTGGTGCTTTTGTAATAATCCACTTCTCGCCAAACGAAAGACTTAGGGCACGAACGCGTTCGCGATCGGCGGCTCACACGAAAAAGCTACGATCGGAGCGAGCGTATAAACCGGAGCACTTGCGTTGCGCTGAAAGGTTCGAAACAGACTGACTTCGAGTCGTTGGCCAAAAGGCGGCCTGAGCTCTAAACTCAACTGACTTGATGCTGAGACGCTGGCGCTGCGTTAACGCTGCTGCTGCTGCTGCTGTCTTTGCACTTTACACTTTGTCAACGGAAGAAACAGAGACGGAGGCAGAGAGAGAGAATGAGAGAGCGGTACAGAGCGGTACAGTGAGCGGTAGGCGGTAAACGAGCGGTCTGATACTGCACTTTTGCACGTGCGTTTTAAGCGCGACTTTAAACGCGTCTAGACGTTGGACCTGCGAAACTGAACTGAAAAGCTAAGCAGCGGCGAAGCCACAGCAAAGCGCCGAAGCACCTGTGCCTCAAAAACAGCCACTCAAAAAGCCACTCACTTTTGAGTGAACCAACCACTGTACAATATCGAATGAGCGCGATGCGTCTGGCAAATAAATAAACAAGTGAACGAGTGGCAAGGTTTGTTGGCTTCGACTTCGCTCCTGGCGGCGGTTCACCTTCGCGGCAAACGGGGAAAAGTCTCTTCGAAAAAAAAGGGCCCCGGTTTTTTGGGTTTTTTTACGTAGCCGTTGTGACGTTGGCATACGCTTATGCAATTGCAATCCACCATCGACCTTGGCTTTAACTTCTTTCTCGTCCGAGAATTGCAAAAGCCCAACCGACCGCTCTCTTTTAGATCGGTTAATGGCTTCATTTGGCCGTTATTGCCATTGTAATTCGATTAAAATTCCCATACACTTTTAATTAAGATTGCCTTTCTTTACATAAGTAAATGCCAATCTAAGGCAGTTCAAAGTTCGCTGCTAATAGATTAAATGGTCAAAGGAGAAACACACAGAAAAAGTAAAATAGATACAAATTTATAATCGTTTTTATGAATTTGAATATCACTTTAATATTATATATTGGGTTACAGAAACAAAAATTTTGAAGTTTTTTTAAAGAATAATAAAGGATTAATACCAATTTATTAATAATTTAGTAGTTTTCAATGTTTTTGTTTCTGTGCATATCATATTGATAATGTCGATTTTTTTTGGATACTAATTTTTTTTGCAGCTGCCCAAGGCAAAATTAGATGCCTTAATTACTATAATTACTATGCCAAAGAATGCTTTTGGGTGCGATGAAGTGATGGACAGGCCAGCTAGCAAAATCAATAAACATGTCTATATTAATAATTTTGTGTTGCTTGCCTATTGCACAATTTCAATGTCATCTTAGAAAAAATTCGAAAAAAATTAACAAGCCGGCGTTAAGGGCTTGACTAAGGGCGTTTGCCGAGTTAGGGAAAAACGAAACAAGATAGAAAAAAATCGAAAACAGACCAAACAGTCCAGTTTTTGCGCAATGCTGACATTGAAAATGCCCAGCCAACTTAGCGCGTTGTGGGTGTTTCTGGCCAAAAGTGCCATCAAAAGCGGGTGTTGTAACAAATCGCGCTCGAACATCTTAAGCAGGTGGTCAATGGTCAATGGACAGCGTTGGATACATTATTTCTTTTGCTATTAAACGACAATTAACTGGCAAGGTCGACTGCTATACATTATAATATATCTGCCTGTCATGCATTCCCATTCCCGAGACCTAAAACATTAGATTTATCTAGCTTCCAAATCGTTATTTAATAAGCGGTGTGGATTTTTTTTCCTTAACAGATTACAGATTACTCATACGCCGAATTGACCGGCGTGGCATGTCAGTGGGATTTAATGAATCGCATAAAACCGATTTCGCGGCTGACTGATGGGCCTGTAAACATCCTCGTTGTCGGTGCAATGGGCATAATTGTAGTTGAAAAACAAGCAATTTCAGGCAGGTACACATACAGTATATATATATATATATGTGGAATATCAAGAAATAAATAAACGAAGTGCGTTGCTGTCGCACTTGACATGGTTTTTTGGAAGACGACAGGCAACGTGCTAATGAGCCCTGAAAACTCCTCGTTCATCATTAACTTGGATATGTGGCAATCGGTCTTATAACGTTTATGATTCACTCAGCCTCAGCTCATCATCATCGTCTGGTTTCCAGCTAATTTACAATAAGTCAGGTCATGGTGTACTAATTTGTGCAGTTGAAGCCATGTAAACAGCCTTCAATCTCTTAGCTTTTACCAGCTGCAAATTTCGTAACTGTTGTTTTAGTTTCAACTAATGGTTACCGCCCACACAAATATAAGTCCAAGCGAACACAGTTTGCTTTCGAATACGCAAAACCAAAAACTAAGCTTGCAATTTTCTAACTTTGTCTTTGTTTTTTGATTTTTTCTGCACAGTCATGCTGTGGCAGCAACCGCAACAGCAACAACAACACCTTGGACAAGTTTGTTGACTTCGGGCTTGGAAAAACGAGAACAACAACAATTGGTAACTGCGAAAATGGTCATAGAAATATTAAAGAAATTGGTTGACAAACTTTTTCGGGGTTTTGCCATGGCATCAATTTTACTCTCGACAGCTTCACTTACAATTTCAGCCTTTTGTCTGGCGATGTGCACATTTCAAATCTACATTTTCGTATTGTTTACTCCATCGCATTTATAGCCCTCCATTCCCAGACTTGGTTCCCCATGTTGACATACCATTTCATTTTGTCTTAGTTTCGACTTCTTTCCCTCTGTGTGTATCGCTGAGTGTATCTCTCTGTGTTTTTATGCTGCTGTGAAAATGGGCACAAGGTCGCCGTTGCGATGAGTAGGAAGTTTGCTGGGAAAGAGGCTTTGCCGGTGCAAAGTGTCTGGAATTTCAGACAGACAGCAGAAGCTCAGGCCTGGCTTTAAATTAATTGCATCCAGCCACGAGACGACACGGCGGCAATTTCAAGCTCATAAAACGGATTGCACTTTACGATAAAGTTACAATTTCCCTTTCGTTCAAAACTCGTTTTTTGCTGTCTCATTTGCGCTGTGTCCTAATCCCTTTTTTCACAGGATTCACAGGAAAAATAAAACAAAGAAGTTCTTAAAGAATTTTCACCAAAAATATTTTCTTAAATAACATTCCTTAATACATAGTATAATATTTAGACATATAATATGTAGACACTTTTATACTAATTTTGTCCAAGTCAATGACTCAGACTTTAAAAAAGTTGTTATGAAATTTTAGAAGATAAATATAAGCAAAGTCTAAAATCAAAGTTTTTTTGCTAGTTAAAAATATTTAATTTTATAATATTACTAAATATTTTTCTCAAAAAAAAATTTGTTAATAATTAATTAATAGAGATTAATTAAGTTCTAGTAAGAGGTTTTAAAGCAACAGAATTGTTTGGTTACAAAACTGCAGAAAACTCAACTGAAGGTGAGTATAATAAGCCAGACAAGCAATTATCTAATTTAAAATTGAGCTATAATTATTTATATGTTTTAGCCTTTTTTCCGCATTTTATCCACAAACAACATTTGAATCACAAACCACATTCCACACTTTTAAAATTCGAATTAATTCTAGCAACCTTCTTCACTTAATTTTTTTGAGGTAATTATGGCTTAAAACTTGTTAAACTGTCCCCTAGTTTTGCTCACTGCAACTCGAAGCAAAGAAGTGGAAAGCTCCAGCTGCTGCAAAGCTTTTTGGTACTCAAAAGTGGTTTCTTTCGCGACTTGCCAAACATTATGCAATTTCTGCAACTCGGAGTTAAGCATTTTGACTACTTTGCTTTATTTTCGAGCGGCCGCCACATGCAAAAGAGTTGCTAATGCAACAGTTTAATTAATTACAATTAGAGGCTGTGGCCGCCCCATAAACAAAGATCTGCGAAATAGCAAACGCAAACGCACAATTGGTTTTTCTTTGCCTTTGCTGTAATTGTTTGGTCCACTACCAGTCGCAAATGAAGCTGACCAGGTTAATATTAAGCTCGGAATCGTCTTTGAGTTGAATAATTTGTGAAGATTTTGGCCAAAGCCATCAAAAAACACACGCCCCAAATGTGTCAAGGTCTTTTGTAAACTGGCCAATGAGCAAAAGAAACAAGCCACAAAAAACCAAATCAAATGGAAACCGAAAGCTGGTCGAGCGTTGTGGGATATTGGGCTCAACGTTTTAGATATATACTATATGTCTATAATTATCGGAGGAAAACTTTTTGGCACACAATGCACAGCATTTGAGTGAGATTTTTGCCAAGTTGATTGGCCGCATTGTGCAATATTTTTGTCTGTTCGACCACATTTTGAGCCAATTAGCAGGCTAGCCAAATTGCTGTTAATGCTATGGGCAAATACGCTGAAATAGTTGCTCTAAGACAATGCATATGGCTTCTTGCAGTGCGGCAAAAACAGGGGTGAAAGTACCCAAAAAAAGTTAAAGGCAAAACAAAAGTTCAAACAACACATACGGCAAAGGCAACGTCATTGTTTCGAAGAAAACACAAAAACCCTAAGAATCGTGGAATATTTATGTGACAGACTTTAATCAGGACAATTACTTTAAGCCTACGTGATACGGCAGATATTCATTAAAATTTAGCTCACATATTTTAATTCAAGAGTGAGTTCTTAGAAGGTGGTAGGTTACTCAGGAAAGCAAAAGCCAGTGACACTTGCACATTGCGGAAATAAATCTTCAATTGCCAGTTCTTATGACAGGCGTGTGCTTTATTCTTTTTATTTTTATTAAGGTGACTTGGCGATTTCCTTTAAGAATATGTGGCCTTTTAGGGCAAACGACTGTCTCCACACAGAGTGGAAAAGAAATTAAGCATAATCTACCTTAATGGCCAAACTTAAAGTTCAACTTAGAGTGTGAAAAAATATTTCTATAGAACATAGCAACAATATCTACAAATGTTCTATCAAAGATAGTTTGGGGCCAAACCATAATTACAAATTGTGTTTACGACCTTTGCAGGCTATTACTGTAGATCAACGAGCTTATAAATTCTCAGACTCTGTAGTTAAATTCATCTGTCTGGGTAATCAAATGGCTATTGAGCCGAGCTTCCTCTAATGTCATTTTATAAAGAGCGTTGATAATTTTAAAAACTATTTAAAAGCTTGTGTGTCTTGAGCTTAAGTTTCAAATCATCTAGCTATATGATAAATTTAATAAAAGCTTGAAAGCGAGCGGACTTTTAAAAGCTAAGCCAAGTTTATAGTAAGGCAATGCCAACCTGATAGCTATGAAATACATGCAAGCTTAAAAACAAGCTTTTAACACTAAGCAACAAAGTTTAGGGCTTATTTTTTAAAAAATTAAAACATTTTACTTGAAATTTTTAAATATTTGTTAAAATTTAAATCAATATAATTTAAAAAATTGTTTACGTAAGATTAAG